TCAAATGCCAGTCTCAGCCAGAACTGTCCTCACAGACACCCCCGGAAATAATGTTTAGCCAAATACCTGGGCACCCATGGTTTAGTCAAGTTGACACGTAAAAGTGACCATCACATCCCCTTTTCTTCATTTACTTTTGCTTCTTGTGACACATTAAACTTAAAGTTTGAGTAATTTCATTGCAATCCACCTCTAAATAAAGTCCCTTGTATTGTGCTTATATTGAAAAAATGTGAAAGTCAGTTGTGAAGGTGTTTCTCGACTTTGGAAAAACATTGAGAAAATAACGTTCAGTGTGTGAAGCAGGTCCAGCTGAGTGTTGGGATGGTTTAGTTGGTCCCACTCTACACCGGAGCACTGCCTCTGCAGGTTGGCTGTGAGCTCCAGGGAATACACCACATCCATCTTTGTCTCTCCACCCAACGCCAGATAAAAGCAATGCCAACACCCAGCGTCCTGGCATTGAACATCCTGCAGTCCTTGTGCACAGTGCCCCCTGGAGGTGTGCAGTGCATGGTGACACAGCCATGGACACTGGCTGGAAGAACCATCACCAGCAAAGAAGCCATCTGCAAGCACTCGCAGGAGGGGGCACAGCACACCAACTCGATGAAGTAGAAAGAATGAGGCCATTGAAAGCCCCATTTTCAAGTGCTAGTATCTCCATGTCTCCTTAGAGAAGTGGTCTTGGGCAAGCCAGTTGAGGTCTGTGAGCTCTGGTGTCCTCTTCTGCCTCTCCCCACTTCACAGAATCACGAATGTTAAATGAGATCACCTACGAGGGAATGCTGTATATGTGAGAGTGGATTTTATTTTAATAAATAAAAGGGAAACATAGGAAGAAAGGAATAGTCCCACCTGCCTTGTGCTAGTGACTGGATCGGAGGGAACAGGGCATTTACAGAGTTGGTGCTTCAGCTTGTGATAGCACCAACAGGAGGAGAAATCTCTCCTTTCCCTTCCAGCTGCTCCCCACGAGTGGTGCCTCAGAAGCAGCAGCCCATGGAGCTCCTGCCCACCTGTCTGCAAACCATAGCATCCATAACTCCAAAAGACTGCTCTCACCTGTGACATCCCACAGCCGAATAAAGGCAGAGACATACAGAGCTCACCAACACCATCGAGAATATGTCAGCCCCTCTGTTCTGTTTGCTGCAATAAAAACTGCGTACCATCAGACGCAGACCCCGAAGATTTTCAACTGTAAGCCCAGGCAGAACTAACTGCGCATGAAGGGCTAGGGGCAGTGGGGCGGAGGGCAGGGGAAAGAATCAGTGCTTGTGCAATGGAAAAGAAAAATCAATTGAGGGGAAAGAAAATGTTGTCCTAAGCCTTTGAAAGCAGTGGCTTGGATGTATCGATATCAGCATATAAAGAAGGAATGGATGATAGAGTAGAGAATCCTTTTACATTTAAGTTCTCAGTTATAAGGAAATCAATAGTTCAGAAAGTATTTCCTTTTTTAAAATTGAAGTGAAATTCACATAACATAAAATTAACCAGTTTAAAGTGAACAATTCAGTGGCATCAGTACATTCACTATGTTGTGCAAACGCCACCTCAATCTGGAAATATTTCTTATACTAGAATTTTATACATAAAAGCTACAGTTAAAACATTAGAAAATCTTCTTAGACCTTTCAACCATTTGGATTTAACTCCCAGATTGTATTTGAGCACTCAGTAGGGTTGTGGCTTCCTGCCTAACTAATGTTAATTATTTTTAGTGTTGCAGAATGGGCCAATTTAAATGTTTTCACATTTGATGAGGTGGGTGGGAGAGGTGATTACGGATTTCTATGGACAGGAGACAGTCCATATGTTCATGTTCATATATGTATTGATAATGTTTAAACAATTCAATGAAAAGTTGAATATTATTTCAGACACATGCATTTCTTCCATACAGGGTCACACACACAGACTGACCAATTGCATATAACTAATAAACAGGGACCAATGCAAAATTGAATATAGTTCCTCAACTCTCCACCAAATTTCTCCAAAAAACTGGCAGAGTTGGTTTAATCAAACATAAAATGAGCTCTTTGAATATGGGTGTCAGAAGGATGTGGAAAATCTGATTCTTCTTCAGTTATGGGAATGAATATTCTACTGACAGTGAACAGAAAAGGATGCTCTTTGCACATGGTTTCTGAAGCTGCCCCAGGGTCATTCACGTACACTCCCCATGGCTACAGAGCTAAGGAACAGTCTAATTAGGAAACCTCTTATCTTGCCACCTCCACTTTTACCGCTAACCTCTCAGACTTGGTCCTGCATCTTCTACTCCTGCTCTGAGCCACTGACCACAGGAGCTGAACTTTTCAATTGAGCTGGACTTAATCTTCCTCTGAGTTGACTATTGCCAGCCCTGTTACATATAGGCATGCTTCTGTGTCACCTTATAATTATAACCACATAGAACCCCAAAAGGTCTTCCTGAAAAATGCGGTAGCAAACTTCTCTTTAGCTGATTCTCTTTTTGCTATTTCTCAAATAGTGAGACAAGACTAAGGCAGAATTCTATTTTGGACTCCTGAAAGGTAACTGCTTCATGATTTATGAACATTCCACCCGAAGGAAGAATCAATAGAGAGAAGGAAAAGGCTTGGGGAGAACAATCCAATACGTAACTTTAAGCCTGGCTCACATTTTCACTTTTCTGAAGCTCTACATTGTCTCTTTATATATAGTAAGCGCTCGATATAATTTGTTTTTTGAATTGCATGAGGAATTTTTTTCTTCTTTAGTTATCTCTAAGGAACATTTTGCCTTACTATATTGATCAAATAATTATAGTATTTGGTGCCAGCTGTTCAACTCAAATAATTATTTCTAAATAGCCTTCGACTTTTGTAATGAACTGCCATGTTCCCTGTCCTGCCTCTTAAGTGCTTGCTAACCATTCTTCATGAGACCACAAACGCATTACCCCATCAAGTGGTCCTCAAATTCTAGATTCACTTGTCCGCATTTTAAAGTCCAGATTCCTGGGCTCCCTAAGCACAGTGGTCCTCAGGTCTGAGACCTATATTTTAACAAACACCATGGGTGATCCAGGTGCCTCATGGAGAACATTTCAGAAACTGACCCATAGATTTGAGCCCACCCGAGACTCTGAGACCAGCCTTATTTAGAGCAGAGTGGTGATGGAGAATCAACAATAAATTGCTAATACTGTGATGCTGGTCCTTCCCTGGGACGTGGTCTTGTTTCACTAGTCACTATTTTGTCTTCTTTCCCCCTTCATGTTCAAAATCCAGCTGGTCTTGCCCTGGATCTTGGTTGCTGGGTCCATCATATTGCTGGGCTTTGCTGGCTGCTGGATGAAGAACTGTCAATTACTAAATCCCATATTAATATCCTGCCTGTTCACCAAGTCTTCCATCCAATGGCCAAACTCCACTATTTGTCTTTTTGGATTCCTCTCAAAAGTCCTAATTCTACCTCTTAGAAATCGTCTTACTCCCTTCCTTGACCAGGTGGGTTTGCTGGATGACTCTTCCCGGCACTAAAACCTCATTCATCATGACAGAGCCTGACTAAGGATGCTGACTACCCTTATCCAGAATTAACCAAGAGGAGTAGGATACTCACCAGGCTGGCTACCCTTAAATAGATCATCTCCCTTTGTGTCTGTGGTACAGTGAGAGGTCGTGCCTGTTCGTTATCCAAGTTTAACATAAGAGATTTTAGAAGAGAAATTGTTAGGGGAAAACAATTCCAAATAATATCATTTTTGTTGCACTGAGCCTGTTGGCAAGAATAGCCCAGAACAAATGCAGATTAAAATAAAAGTGCTTATAGTTGCTTTTAGGCTGATACACTGGGTTGGAGTTAGAACATCCTTATCTCAGAAGAGTCCTCCATAAACCCTTGTTTACTTTGCTGAAATAATGGAGAACAACGACATGGAGTCCCTTCATTCAAGACCCTTCCAAAGCGACTTATGCAGCCCAAGAGAGCAAACAGGTGTATCTCCTTCTTGCCTGGTCTCTGAGGCTAATACTGAGGAGACCTGAGCCTGGAACAGTGAGTTCAGTTAGCCACAGTCACCTTCAGTAAGCAGCTGAATGAGATGAATTATGTCCCAAGGAGACAGAGGGGGCCTGGGCCAACCAGGGATGTGTTTAGACAGTACCTGCTAAGAGACTATGGGCTCAAGTGAAGGTTGCTGACAAAATTGGTACTTTCCCAAATTGTTACTCTATCTGCTGAGAGCTGAAATTTATCTTTGAACACAAGAAGACATTTCAAACAAAGAAAGGATTTCTTTCTCTGTCTTGGTCTATTCATTTATTTAACATATATTGGGTTTTTTAAAAATATATATATATTTTCTATGTGCTAGGAGTAAAAAGCTCTGCCCTCTGCCCTCATGGGGTAGTGGAGTTTAGGTCATGAATTTTAGAAATATGTCTACCAAGAACTTTTATTTTCCCACCTGCCAGCATAGAATGCTGGGGTTGCAGAGATAGAAACAAGTGCCTGTGAGGAAGCCAAACCACAGTTCACCTTCCAATGGATAGACCAGGCTGGAAGTTTATGGCAACGGTGCTAGTCAACAGGAGGAAAGGATGAGGACGCCCACCAATTAAACAGAAATTCTCCCATGGAGATTGCAAAGCAGAGAAACTTGCCTTGGACAGGATAGATCTGTGCTAGAGTTCTTTCTGTTCCTTCCTTATTTTTACTAGATAAGGCGTTGAAGATTAATTGAAATACCAGGTGCTCTATAAGCTAATTTTTTTTGTCAGCTTGAGCCAGCGGCTCAGGAACCTGGAGGGCTTGCTAAAACAGAGATTGCTCAGCTCTATGCCCAGAGTTTCTGACTCATTACTTCTGGGACAGGCCCATAGGACTTGCACGCCTAACAAGTTCCCGGGTGATGAGGATGCTGCTGCTCTGAGGACCACACTTTGAGAACCACATGTGTAAGCAAACATTTAGAGGAGACTTGAAAGTGTTGTTCCACAAAGGAGTACAGACAACAGCACTAGGTTTAAAATTTTTTAACACCTGTTGTTTTTCTCACTGCAAAATAATACACATGTATTGAAAAAAAAATGTTTTAATAAACAATGAATTCATAAAACCAAAGTAAATTTAAAACCATCCACTGAAAGATAGCCATTAGTAACCCTGCTGTGTATTTTTATAAAATCTCTATGTGTATGTTATGTTTATGTCTACACATATACATATATGTTTCTCATATATATATAAAATGTATACAACATTGGATTCATCTTATACATCTTTTGTAACTTAACCTTTTCACTTAATAATATATTATAAACATCTTTCTACATCAATACAGTTGTAGAACATAATTTGGTACATCCTTTGAATAGAGGTACCAAAATATATTTATATGTATTTAAATGTTCCCATTTGCTGGACACATAGGTTTAACTCTTTCCTGGTAAAACGGGTTCAGAATAAATATGCTGTTAAGTCTCTCTGTATATCTTTAATTATTTTCTAAAGACAGATTCCCAGAAGAAAAATGTCGGAGTCAAAACTCATGTATTTTAAAGCTTTGAATATATATTGCCAGAATACCCTTCAAAAAAACACTGGCTCAGTTGACACACTTATCAGCACTATAGAGGTGTTTTCTTACATGACACTGAGCACCTGTTTTCCTTGGCCAATTCAACAGGGAGAAAATGATATCTTGTTTATATTTTGAATTTTTTCCAGTTACCAGTGGATTTATAGTCACATAACATTCCATGATTTCATACTTCTTTCATTTGTAGCTGTGTAAATCTGGGGCTTAGAATCATTCTGTAAACTCTTTATAAAGCAATTCTTTTGCTTGCGAGTTTCCGTGTTTGATATTTCATAGAGTCCAGCACATCATCTTTCTTTGTCAAGAACAAACAAAAAAAATCTCAAAATTGACAATTTTTGTTATAGTATATAAACTCTGTGAAAACAACTTCGCTACAGAATTCTGTATTTGGGGTTTGTCTGATATGATATGCAATCTCAATTCTCAGTATATAAATTTATTATAATTTATAACTATAAATTATAAATGCAGTATAAATGGTCTAATTTTACTTATGAAATAATCCATGGGAAAAAAAGTATCCACTATGATTAAAAGAGGCAATTGATGGAACAATGTATCTTGTTATCTATCTGTTAATATTTATTGAGTGGCCATATGATGTGAGTACTGAAATGAACTTTCTTGGTGATACACTAAACTGAAATTTCTTGTTGATACACAGGGACTATTAGGTGAAAAATATGGGAACATCCGAATCCCTGGAGAAGTTGAAGCCTCAGAGTTTGAGATGATTTTGGATGCTGCCATAGAGGCAAAGCTGGAAACCAAGTTACTGGAAGAGTGGTACTGTCGAGATGAGAACTCGGTGCCCGCAGCTTATTACCTCAGACCCAAATCGGAAATGCTGAAAAGCAATAAAAATGCAGTAAGTTACCTTTCTCTCCAAACTGTGTCTCTCTCCACGACTTTAAATGGTTTATGCCATCCAGGGGTGGTTTCCTCCACAGAAAAGTCACGGTAGACAAAACATTATTTCTTTTTAACAACTAAATCCAAAGCTAAGAAATCTTCCAATTTTTGACCCATCTTTCTTTTTTGGCATCTCAGATTTTCCTTCTGGGGTCATTTCCTCCTTCCTGAAGTATACCTTTTGAAGGTTCCATTAATGAAAGTCTACTAGCGATAAATTCTGTTTATCTGAAAATATTTTTCTCATTTTGCTATTATGTGTCTACGTACATATGCTGTGTGGTATATGTTGTGCTTCCTATATTTGCAAATTCATGTAGTCTATCAGTTCTGGAAAATTCTCAACCATCATCTCATCAAATAACATCTCTCCTCTATTCCTTCTTGTCTTTCCTTTTTGCTCTTTAATTAGATGTACATTAGACTGCCTCAGTCCTCCTCCATGTCTCTTAACTATCTTTGACATTATCAATTTCCTTATCTTTCTGTGCTGCTGTCCAGAAAATTACTTTAGACCTTTTTTCCAGTCCACCAATTTTCTTTTTCAGCTGTGTCCACTCTGTTCATGCATTGAGTTTTCAAGTTCAACAATTATATTTTTAATTTGTGAAAGGGTTTTTTGGGGGGGAGGTGATCTTTTAAAAGTCTGCTTAGCCACTTTTATAGTCTCTCTTTTTTTAATTCAGGATTTTCCTTCAACATTTCATACATTGTTAATTTATATTCTTGTGTCTTATGTAGAATCTTGGAGTGCAGTTGAGTCATGCATGAGTATGATGAAAACATTATCATTGACTTTTCTCCAGCTTTGTTCCCAGATGTATCAATTACATGTCCCCAGAAACTGAATGGAGGAGGTAGAGAAAATGGGTGGGCTTATTCATTGCAGAGCCTTTTTACAGAGACGGAAAAGAAGGCATAGATATCCAATTCCTCTTCTAAACAGAATATCCCTGATACATTCAGCACCCAGGCAGCTCCGAGACGGGGAGAGCCCTGGGTTAGCAACAGCTCTTCATTCAAGAACGCTGTGTATTTGTCATTCTGATATTTAACATAAAGCATGTTCTCCATGCAAAATGAAATCATACCAGATTTCTCAATTTTTCTTCTTCCTCCTCACATATATTTTTCAAAGTAATATTTTTTAAAAAATGTCAGACAATTTAGTTATTCTTTTCCACTAATAATCTTATATTAATTACTTGTTAATGATATGCAATATGATGACATTTTGGATATGCTGGGTTAAAATAAAATGTTGTTGAAGTTAATTTCACCTACTTCTTTCTGCTAGAATATGGAGAAGAATATTGAGGTAAGCCCCAAACCATCCCCAGTTAAGTATGCCAGGAGTGAAGGCAGTAGCTGATAAATGTAGATGTCAAAAAACATGATACCTCAAGAAACCAGTTTCACACAGTGGTCTGAGGGCACTTGCATACGTTTATTTAATTGGCTTTCGTTGTTCCTTCTTCATTTGATTCCCTGATCCTCTAGGGAAATTTAAGTTATTTTCTAAACCCCACAGGATATTTCAGCATAAACTGTTGCCAAGTAAATGAATGTTTGAAGACCATCATCAGCAATACTCTATAAATGTTACTTTCTTGGTTGGCACTCCTCCTGTTTTATTTCCTAGAAGATCATAAAAATAAATGAGGAAGAAACAACTTAAGACAATTAAATAGTAACATATGAGCACCTCCCCTTTAACTGTGTCTTCTCTAAAGAGGATATTGAAGGGATGATTTTGTTATGACATTTGTATCAAAACTCAAGAGGGAAACACATGTTACATTAAGAAAGCCCAACAAATAAATCCTGTCTAGATTCACATTGTTGTGTCACTTGGGCGAGTTCACATCACTTTCAGGGGATTAAGGAGAGGAAATGAGATACTGTCTGTTAAGTGCCTGTCAGACTAAGGCACATAGTAGATCTTCAAATAACAACAGTTCTCTTGCTTTTAAGTATTGGGTTTCCTTTGATGATTTTAAGACTAATCTCTCGCTTTTATGTTTCCATAGATGCAGCCCTCTGGCAATGCTGAGAATGAGAAGACCTGGCAAGAGATATCAGATGAGATCAAGAAGATATTTAAGGTTGCTGTAAAACTGTTGCATGAAAAGGGGAAAATGAAACACAGCCAAGCCAAGAGATATCTGTTCTCAGGTAATTTTTACACATCCTCAGTAAACTAAGGAATAGCTCAATAATAGAGGCATTCACTCCTTCCCTTTTATGGTTCTGCAAATTTAATTGCATTTACTGCCTGGTGAAACTTAATTTTTCTAAAATGGTTCCATCTCCTGGAGAGACAAGTGTTCTTTGGTTTTAACTCAAAGGTAAGCCTTCACTTAACTCGACGACATCTCCAGAAAATGGGACTTTATAAGAAGTCAGAGGAGGCTGGATATAATAGACCAGACTCTGCCACTGTTTCTCAGTTGAGCTGTTCATTCATTCATTCACTCAGTCGCTCATTCAGCAAACATTTATTGAGTGCACCCTGTGTGTCAGGCACTGAGGCTACAACAATGACCAAGAAAGCAAGGTCTCTACTCCCTTGGAACTAATTTTTTTTTTTTAGTGGGAGGAAATAAATGATAGGCAAGTAATAAAATAAATGAACAATATCATTTCATGGGCCTAAAAACAATCACAATACACTTATCTGTGGGACTCCATGATTCATGTCTTCCATCCTCCACTAGACTGTCAGCTTCCTATTGGCTTTTTCTCTCAGCATCCTCTGTTTTCTCTCCACTGTATCCTAAGCAACTAGCAGTGTGCCTGGCACATAGTAGATGCTCATCTAAGACCAACTGGATGAAGGAACGCAGGAGGGGAGGCAGCCAGTTTGAAAAGACTCCTTGCCTTAAAATTCATTTCCATTGATTTAATTGTTTTATTTTTATTTTTCTTCCCTAAAATCACAAGTAAGTGATGTTATTACTACTGATCCAATTTTAAATGTTCTTATGGGATCTCAGATGATTTAGAATGTATATTTACTTTTATGTGAGCATAGGTATTGTAAGACCCAATGTGGTTTCTTAGAAGAAATAAAGTTACACACTAAGTCATTTTTCAGAACTTACTCTGATGGGTATAATGGGATTTAACAGTGACATGGATAATGGATAAATAGAATCAGCACATGGCTATATTTTGAACACGCTTTTATTTACACATCTCTCTCTGGGGTGCAATGTATCTGAAACAAAATGGTGAACCCACATTGTAAAGAAGAGGCTGAACAAGGAAAGCAAACTAGATACATCATTTGGCCTCTTCCTCATTCTTTCCTGGCCCCGGTTTGTTCCTGCTCTTCACTCTTAGAACCCCTGAAGTCTGAGAGCGAAGCTAAGCAGGAACTTAAAAGAATCAACTATAAACTTGGTTTCCTTTCTTTCTTGTGCTTATGTTCAACCTCTCTCTTGGGTTGGGGAGGAAATTAAACAATTTTATTTAAACCCCTTGTCTGAGTTCCAGGCTGTTTAGGAAAAGACAAATAGGAAATTAAGGAATTAAGAGATTATTTTATAGATGACTCTGCTACACACTATAAGCAAAATAAACTACCACTGGTGACTTGAGAGTTACGTCCCAGGAGTGGAGATGCCTTGCTTCTTTGTTCTAGGCAATAAACTCCTTGTAATATTTTCTTCCAGCCATAGAAGACGAGTTTGACTTTGCTCTAGGAAAGCAAACTCCAGCATTTCTAAAGAAGTGTGTTTGCTACATTAGGAAAATTGCTAACATTGAGCGTTTCGTGAAAATCCCAGAGATGGGAAAATACATGGATATAACAGGAGCAGAACCAAGGATTATTCGGGACCCAGAAGCCCAAGAGAAGCTGGTAAAACTCAGGGATGAATTTATTCCTACCATCGTTGCATCATCCAATCTGAGAGTGTACACATCTGTTACTCATTGTGACATGAAACTAGGCTACTCCCAAGAAATAGAAAATCATTACATAGAAGGACTCGGTAAACAATTTTATGAGGACATGATTGACATAATTCAGGCAACAGTGCAACAGAACTTTGACACGGAAACTGATACACTCTACGATGAAATCCTTCAGCATTCATCATTATGTAAAACATACGCCTCCTTCTATGAGTACAAATGTGAATCTCTAAACATAGTGCATAAGTACATTCTTCCAAGCAAGACCGGGCACATCAACCCTCTTATTATATATGGTGGACCATGCACGGGGAAGACCCTTCTGCTCGCCGAAGTAGCAAAGAAGGTAAAAGCCTATCCTTTTATGAGTATTTTTGTAAAAACTTCTACTTTGGGGAAAAGATCAATTGGTCAAATTCACTTCCATTTTCTGTGCTTACTATCTGAATTGGTCTTTTGGGAATGGATATTTCAGCATTTCTCTTTTGCTGGGCTAACAGTTACGCTGAAAGAACGGGACTCACGGGGTGCCATTCTAGAACAGCTTTATTTTGTCTCTCACTGTTCACACTCGTGTTGTGGGGCTAGTTCTCATTTGGATGGAAACTAGGGCAGATCTCACAACTCTTCTCTTCCCTCTGAGCAAAGACAAGCCCTCCAGTCACTTCTGGACACTAAATCCATCTCAGTTCAGCAATGAGTACGTCCTGTCTAAGATGATGATGAAAACTTCAGTCTGCATCTCCCCCTCCGCCAGCTGAAGTCTACCACACGCAAGGCATCTTCAGTGGGAAATACGGACATGGCCATCGTCTCCTTTCTTTCACCACACAGCCCTTCTTCCCCCTGTTCCTAACCCTGACCACACTTCTGACTCCTAGAGGGTTGTGGTTTAGGGGATGTAGGAAAGGTAGGGTGGCAGGACACTCCTAAATGACCAGTACTGTTCTGACCTGGGCTCTGTACTCTCATCTTGGCAGGTGTTTAAAACTTCCTCCCATTTCTTCTGAGCCCTTTTCATAGTTTCCCAAAGGTCCTTTCCCTCCTACATCCCCACTCCCTGCCTCTCTGGTCCTCACTGAGCATCCCTCACCTGTGGTTCCCTAGATACAGGGAACTGCACTGTCTTCCAGCCGGTCACCTCTGCGGCTCCTATACATCCTGAGACACATTTCTGGTATCTTTCTGCCAAGAGCCTCTCCACAACCTAGCAAACTCCCTTAGACAGGACCTGGGAAAAACAGAACCAACAGAAATCATTGTCAGCTCATGTTAGCCAGTGGCCCACATCCGAAACCTGGGAAACACTCAGCATTTTTTGACTCTGAGAAACTTCAGTTCCATACAGCAGTTCTCTCATCACTCCTCCATTGGAGCAGCTAGCCAGCCTCAGTCACTCAACCTCCGTATTTCTCAGATGTCATCAGACACATATGGCCATGTCTCCCAAGCCCTAGGCGACATCCCCTAAGTGGTGCATTGCAGCCCCTTCCCTAGGCTGGAAGTGAGGGGTGCGCATCTCTCAGCCCTCCCCTTTGGGAGTGTGGTGGTGACAGATATGACCCATGGCATTCTCATCTCCCACTTTTTTCTGGAGGTGGGTAGTCAGCCAAAGGCAGCAAAACTGGTTTTCACAACTCCCTTTCAAGGTGTGCATGATGGCCCAGAGCTCCACTCTGGAGTGTGCTATCTATTGTCTTCGGACCTCAGTCTAAACTGGATGAAACTAGTCCCTGTTTTAACCTCCTGGTACACTTGATGTCCAAATCTGATAGTTTATATTATCCTGACGTTACCTTGGAATCTCTATATTGTTCTTCCTGTGGTTACTCTCTTAAGAACAGAGCTTTCTTTAACTCTGTGAACAGTCTCATGATCCATCACATGCTGCACCATCTCGGGTAGGTCATCTTGAGGACAAGAGCAGGGACAGTGTGTTGCACCTTTTGTGGTGATTAGGTTCCAAAGCAAGGTCACAGGTGACAATCAGACATATCAAACTTACTCTTAAAAAGTCCTCAGGAAGGTCCATTTACCATTTCTTAATCTGCCAAGCCCAGGTGCTGGTTTCTTCTTGTGTTAGGACACGCAGCTCTCGCTTTAACTGAACACCTGATGAAATGGCAGGCTTACATCTAGGAGCCACACTGCATCAAATAAATGTATGTGTGTGTGTGTGCATATGTGTGTCTGTCTTTGAACACTGCTTTGTACGTGTATCCTCAAACGTTACAATTTTTCGGAGTTAACAAGATAGTGACGTTACAAGCAGCCCATGGGAACTGAAATCAAATGGGAAGACATCCATGTGTTGATTTCACACTCACTCTGAGGCCTCTTCCTTGTGGAGGAGGTAGAGGGACAGTGTGCATGTGATGCAGCCCCACATGTCTAGCACAGGAGGCAGTCACATGACGTGTGCTGATCTGCCTGTACACAGAAGCGATCCCTGTGGGCAGAACGTGGTGACAGTTAATCAACTTGAAAAATGGCTTTCTGAGTTCTTGCTGTTCTGGATATAAGCCATGCCTATTTCTAGGTCCCTTGTCTCTGCTCTGCTTGCCTCTCTCCTGGGGAACTTCTACCCCCTGCCCCCATCTCCTCCTACTTGCCGCCACCTCCACCAACAACACCCTGTCCTCTTGTGACCTCATGTTCTGTGTGAGGATGGAGACAGGCATCTTGTGTTCATCTCTAGGTTATCTCCCTTGCAGCCGACATTTCCTTGGACATGAGCTAATGATGGCAGGGCCATTCTTTATAGACATCACACATGCCACCACACGTGATTGGGAGGAGGGAGGACAATGCAAATAATCATCATAAGCCATCCAAGTAGGGCCAAACAAATTGTGTTCTCTTTCTGATTTGCCAGCAAAAGATGCTGTAAAGTGGCAGGATTACCTTCCTCCAAGTCAGCAGCAAAAGCTGGGGCTGATCACCGACCACGAGTTGCTTATTTTCCTTAACAGCTCGTTCTGAAACTGACGTCCCTGAATTTTTTCTGAACATATTCTAACTTCAACCTGAACTATTTCTGAAGGAACCAAGTTTCATAAACTGACTTTCTAATGTATTAAATAACATGTCCTTTCCTAAGGAGCATCCTTGGTGAATTGCAAGCGTTACTGAAAGACGTTGTCTCCCTAAAAATACGTTTTGGAGTGTTTTATACTTTGATCATATCCCTTTTTGTCCTTGCACTTCCAGACAGAAAGATACTAAACTTAATTCAGCCCCCTCTTCGTATATTTTCTCTCTTTAACTCTACAATTAAAAGGGAGAAAGAGAGGGAGAGAGAATGGGAAAGAGAGGGCCTTATGTGATCTCAATTAAGGGACATATTTGATTGATATACTGTGTAGATCATTACTTAATCTTTTCATTAAATAAATACTTACTAAGCACCTACCATGTGCCAACAACTGTGCCAGGAAATGAAAATTCAGTAACGAAAAACTAACCATATTAGATACTCAGATTTACAGTTTGTGAAATGCTTTGTGACTTTTAGAACACCAGCTAAATGCTGCCTTATGATTGACTAGCACTGTCATCACCGCTCTATTGCCTTCGGTAGAGTGGCCCTGAGGATCTCACCTATGAGCTTTGCGACAGCTCTTCGACCATCTCAGGTTTCCCCACTTCCCAGTTCTAGGCTACTTTCTGTATGGTCAGGGTTACCAGAAGTCTGATCTGTGCCGACAGGAGGCGTTGCTGCATGTGACCGCATGACTCTATGTCACCATTCTAAACTCGGCCTTTATGTTTTAGGCTTATGGCTGGCTACATGAAGACACAGGACCAGAATCGGACCCAGTCGTAGTCGTGCGATTTCTAGGAACCACAGACATGAGTACTGATCTCAGGACTCTCCTCGTAAGTGTTTGTGAACAGTTGGCAGTTAACTACCGGTGCCTGGTTCAGAGCTACCCCAAGAAGATCCATGACCTCCGTGACTTATTTATCAACCTTCTGAATGAGTCTTCGCTGCAGAGGCCTCTCGTGGTGATATTCGATGCCCTGGAGCAACTGTCGGACAGCGACGAGGCCAGGAAGCTCTGGTGGCTCCCGGCTCACCTTCCCCGCTTCGTCCGGATCGTCCTCTCCACGCTGCCCAACAAACACGGGATCCTGCAGAAGCTACGGTGCCTTATCCATGCAGAAGACAACTACATCGAGCTGGTTCCGCGGGACAGGAAGATGTGCAGCCAGGTGCTCAAACACCAGCTGCTGCGGGTCAAGAGGAAGGTCACGTCAGGCCAGCAGATTTACGTGAACAATGCCTTCTCCAAGTGCACGCTGCCCATGTTTGTGAACCTGACCTTCAGGGAGGTGAGACATTGGCGATCTCACAGAGACGTCGATGAGTCCTCGCTCTCTGTCACCGTCCATGAAAGCATAGAGCAGCTCTTCTGGTCCTTGGAAAAGAAATGTGGGCAGAAACTAGTCTGCCGGGCTCTTGGTTACATCACCATGGCCAAAATGGGTTTGAGTGAAATGGAGCTGGAGGATGTGTTGGCCCTCGACAACACGGTCATGAATGAGCTCAGTGAGTGTGCCAGGCCCAGCAATCCTCTGAGAGTACCCTATCTGTATATCGCCAGGCTCAAGGAGGGGCTCAGCGGGTACTTAATTGAGAGACACGTAAAGAACGTCACCCTCCTGGTCTGGGCCAACAGACACCTGCAGCTCATAGCCCAGAAGCGGTATCTGCAGGACGGTGGTGACCTGCGTGAAATGCACACCATCCTTGCAGACTACTTTCTGGGCGTCTGGTCAGGGGGCAGGAGAAAAGCTTTCTGCCTTGAAGACCCCTACTTGAATGGCTGCCTTGACTTGGAGAGCAGAAGCCTGCTGGAGGAGGAGAAGCACTTCATGGAGCAGGCTTCCTTCGACAGGCAGGCCCCTGACCAGCCCTGGGTTTTCCAGTGTAACCCGTTGGAGCCCGACATCTTTTTCGTCAACCATCGGAAAATGTGTGAGCTCCTGTACCACCTGACGAGGTGCGGGAAGACAGATGACTTGCTCTACGGCATCATCATGAACTTCAGCTGGCTCTACACCATGACCAAGATCGGCCAGTTCGACAAAGTACTCTCCGACATCGAGCTGGCTTACAACTACTCGCAGGAGAAGGAGCTGAAGTTTCTGGCAAGCACCCTCCGCAGCATCAAAACGAAGGTCGTTGCGTTCCCCGGCTCCCTTTCCGCCGAGCTTCAGCAAAGACTGCTGCCTGTTGTAAGTTCCCTGCCTAAACTCAGACACCTTCTTTTAGAATGTGACAAAGACGGCCCCAAATATTGCTCCATCGTGCCATTACATTCATCCATGGACGTGACCTACAGCCCAGAGCGTCTTCCCTTGTCATCTAGTCACCTGCATGTCACCGAGATTCTGCCCACCTCTAACCCCAGTACAGTCCTCACAGCTTTAGAAAATGGTTCCATCAGCACGTGGGACGTAGAAACACGTCAACTACTCAGGCAAATCACGACAGCCCAGTCTGTCATCCTGGGCATGAAACTCACCAGTGACGAAAAGTATCTTGTGGTGGCTACAACAAATAACACCTTGTTGGTTTATGATAATGTAAATTCTTGCCTCCTGTCTGAAGTGGAAATCAAAGGGACCAAACATGGAAGTGGCTCCACCTACATCAATGGATTTACACTGTCCGTCAAACACGCCCTCGCCTGGCTCGAAGCCAGCAAAGACGTCACTGTCATCGACCTGCTCTACGGATGGCCCCTTTACCAGTTCCACTGCTGGTATGAAGTGACCTGTGTCCAGTGCTCGCTGGATGGCGCCTATGCCTTCTGTGGACAGTATCTGAACACCACCACCATATTTCATTTAGGGAGTGGAGAAAAGTTATGTACGGTGACATCTGAATTTTCGGGTGGGTTTGTGAAGTTCCTTCTTATCTTGGACACGGCTCAAGAAATGGTAATGGTAGACAGTGAGGGAAGCCTCTCTGTTTGGAACACTGAGGACATCTCCAACCCTCAGCTGACTGATGACTTTGACTGCCGAAGAGAAGATAGTGAGGTGGTCAGCATTGAACTTTCAGAGGACCAGAGTGCAGTTCTGATCTGTAAAGCCCTCAGCATTGAGCTCTTAGATACTGGCATGTGGAAGGTGGCCGAAAAGTTCAGAGCTAAGCACAACGAACGCTTTATATCAGCCGTGCTGTCCAAGAACGGGGACTGCATCATCGCGACCATGGAAAATACCTCAGCCGTGTTTTTTTGGAGGCGGGACACGGGACAATGTATGGCGAGCTTACAGGAGATCTCAGGAACCATAGTCAAGCTGGTGAAATCGAGTCACCACAACATGCTGCTCTCTTTGTCGACCAGTGGGGTTCTTTCTATCTGGGACATAGATATCATCACAGCCATGTCAAACATAGATAAGACTGGAAAACCCATCCAAAGTCTGGTGTTGCCTGCTAGGGGGGAAATCATTTACTCCCTGGATGGCTCTGATTGTGTTCATAAATGGAACTTCAGCAGTGGGTTCCTTGAAGCAGTATTTAAGCACGAAGGGATAGTTGAACACTGTGTGTTGACGTCCTCAGGAGACGTAATGGTGACAGCGGATGACAAGAGCAGCCAGTACGTCTGGCACACCAGCAGTGGGGAAAACCTCTTCCGCATTAATGGGCAGAGGATATCTCAGCTGCTAATCACACACAATGACCAGTTCGTGGTCTCTCTCTGTGAGGAAAACGCCTCCAGGGTTTGGAGACTGGCCACGGGCCACAGGGTGTGCAACATTCTGACCACTCTGCAGAACGCCTTTATAACCTCTGCAAACACCTTCGTGGTGGGGATGACCAAAAGCAAGGTGCTGGCAGTCAGCCTTTGGACAGGAAGCATCACCAAGAAATTTTGCTGTGAAGACGGCACCACCATTGTGAATTTTAAATTGATCCCCGACTGTCCAGACATCATCGTGTTTATCACATCGGCCGAGACGGTGAATATCTGGAGTCTGACAGAAGAAGTCATCTGTCGCCGTGTGCAACTGCCAAACAACTTCCTGAAAAATCTAGAGGATTTTGAAATCTCCCCGAATGGAAAGCTAGGCATTATTTCCAGGGGAGACGAAAACATCAACGTGCTAGACTTACACAGCGGTAAGTTACGGGTGGTTCACGCCTCTGGGGTCATCTGGAGGCAGAGGCTGTCTCGAGACGGTCGCTACCTGGTATACATTTGTTTCCGAAACGGGGAGGAAGAGGATGAAAACGGTGCGCTATCCAGTTTGATTGTCATGAGACTGGCCGACGGCAAAAATATCGGTGCTTGCTCTCTTTACAAAACACCAACTTTTCTCGCCCTGTCCCAGAGGCACCTGAACATCATTGTAGGTTTTGACGACGGGAGCGTAGGGATATACACCGTGGTGGACCGCGTGGATGCCGCGCTGAAAATTAAAATCGCCACTTCAAATAGTAGGCAGATCTTCAACAGCACGACGCAGGCATCCAGGCCGAAGTGCCATCGTTACTGTTTCAAAGTGTCTGTGGATTGCCTGTGGAGAGAGTCTACTGAGGTCTTTGCAAGAGACAGTCCCATCACAGTGAGTGACTCCACGGAGCCCAACGAGGCCACGCCCTCCAGGAAACACAACTCTTGCTACGACCGGGTGTGCTCCGCCCTGGAATCCAGGGGCCCCGGCTATGCCCCTGACAACTGACAAATGTTTTTCCTGCTCACATATATAAAGAAAGAAAAATCTTCTGTATCGCAGATGATAAACCAGTCATTCTTAAAAAACAGGAAAGATGCTAGAGGTCCAGTATTAATTATTAGTGTGCTCATGAAATGTACAGATGCGTGAAATTGCGTTTAGGTTTTGTTGTTTTTTTTTTTTTTTTTGGTCAAAGCTTATCCAGGAATAAAGTCTTGACAGAGAATTTCTAGAAATCACATTTACATGGCTACGTCACCTGGAAGTTAGAGGGTAGTTTTGAAATTAACTGTGCGGGAAGAAGCATCTTAACTCATCCCATTATGCAGATGAGAGAGGAGCGAGCTACATACGGACCATTTGGACTGGAGCTAGCTCTACAGGAAATGATCGAAATTGTGAAATTGCTGCTTGACTTCAAATGATTGTGTGGATCACTAAACACAGCCTTAATCTCTCCTTACATTTTACGATCCTGACAACTGTGTAAATCCAGTCTGCAGAGGGAAGGTCTAAAGGTGCAAAATAACGTAACAAAATGGCCCAGGTGTGCCCGCAGTTTCCCGAGAGAAAGGACGTGAAGGGCGAGGCCGCAGGCTGGACTGGGACAAGAGCTCCCTACCACTGTCACAGGGCTATTGAACATGCAGCCGTCTTCTTTCAGATACAGTTGTGACAACTGCATGCAAGGGTTTCTGTATAACAGAACATCCGGTTTTTAACCTATTTCCTGGGCTGCAAAAGAACACTTTTAATAAGAAACCACAATCTTTTCATGTCTTTTTGAAATGCCCATTTGTGCTGGGTGTAAAGAAGAGTTGCAGGAAAGGGCATTACAGATTCAGTCAAAACACCTGTTCATTTCTGTCATTGTACTAACAACAGTCTGTGCAATAGAAATCGGTTGTTCAGAAGCGTAAATTATTTCCTAGGCCCCTGCAGTAAATCTTAGTAGAAGGAAAGCTTTCTTGACTTGCCATCTATGGAATACGGATGACATCTGCCTTACTCTCATTCCTCCTCTGTCCTGTGTAAAACGCAGATAGATGACCAAATACTCTGGGACAAACTGAATATTCCTGTCTTTGTGCTAAAATATTCCACAGATCTTAAGGGTGTCCAAAGGCTCTTATTGTCCCTGTGTGAAATTACTGTCTTACTTCTACTCACTCTATGTGTACATCCTTCTTGATCTGTCTCCCTTTCTGCCTAAGGACTCTTCGGAGCCTTTCATAGTCTTATCTGTTTCAAAGCAGAAGCTGTGAAATGGTATTCGATGTTTTTTAAAAGCTACTTTACCTATTTAGAAGAAAATATTACATCCCAAAAGGGGAACGTGATTTTCTTCCTTCCATATTCTCCTCATGGCATGTCCCTGGATAACTCTCCAAAGGGTGTCAGTAGTGATGGTTTGGTTTGGTTTGGTTTGGTTTGAAAGGGCCAGTGGTGACTTGTGTAGGCAGAATAATGAACAAGGAACTGACTTGCTTTCAGTCCAGCTCCACCTTGAACTCATCAACTATCCGTAGGTAGATCCTTAACCTCCCAAATGTATTGTTTTTGTAAACTGCAGAATAAAGGTAGTGATAGCTTCTGCTGTTGCCCTCATAGGGATGTTGGGGAGAAACATGAGAAAAAAGGAGCATGACATCTTAATTGTTAATGCTAATGGAAGAAACAAAGTGATCTAACCTATAGGGAATCCAAGTCAACTGTATTTCACTTTGGAAAGCAATTTGACACATAAGCATACAGAGATGTGATTCAGATATAAACACCCCACTTGTTGGTGAAAGACTTTTTCAGTATGTTCCTCCTGGCCTAGCTACCAGCCGGGGAGGTGGAAGCTCAGAGAAGGCTCAGCCCATGTACAGATCACCTGGAGTAGATTGTATGAATCAGTGCTTTTTTTAGCTCTTCGAGGCAACACATTCTTATTCTTGTCCTTATCAGTTGGACCTCTGTGCTACACATTTCTCAGATAATATGCCTAGGTGGATTAAATGTAGTGTGTGAATGTTCTATGTAACAGCCAATAGAGTTTAACAAGTGACTTGAATGATTTTTTCCTAACTTGTTTGCAACTGATAGCTCATATTGAATGTTTTTATGTAAACTTTGTATTGTTGGGAAGAATTGCCCAATCAGAGATTTATATTTTCATAAATGTTACATTTAGTTAAATTTTGTTACAGAGTTGTTACACTAGAAAATTATTGCAGTCTTCAAACAATGTACAGTCTTGTGTATGTATTGTTTGTATGAATAAAAGATAAATGGCTTAGATTTGCATGGTGTTTGTTTTTCTCCTCCAACTTTGGCAGATGTAGTTAAGAGATCTTCAGTAAAAATAACAATAATTATTCCTGTACATGAAGCATTTTTTTGGAGCTTTGCGTGTATTAAGCCACGCAATCTTCACAGCAGCCATATGAGGTAGGTACTGTATTCCAAATGTACAGATGAAGAAACTAAAAACAGAGGAACAGATGGACAGGATTTCAATACACCACCAATGTCTTTTTTGTTAACTTCTGAAAGCACATAAAAATAAAGCTTTGAGCACCCAGTAGGCACTTAACTGATAATGACCTTTAAGATATTTTCTAACTTGCAGATTAGAGACCAGGCAAGGCTCTAAAGCTCACTGGAGGGCTTTGCAAACTCCCAGGGTTTTCAGGTATAACTGCAATAGCTGAAGTATTCATTCAGCAAATATTTACTTGGTCAATGCATTTTGCCAGGAATACAGAGGTTGATAAAATAGGTTATACCTTCTAGGATATCACAGTCTTATAACAGGAAACAGGACACAAGCTCTCTGTGTGAGTGCCAGGGCTGTGTGCTTCCCTCTGGGGCTTGGGGCAGAGGTGGGAAGGAGAGTCACCCAGAGGTTGACCTACTCATGAACTGCCTGCAGGTGAGAGAGCAGGGCCAAGGGGGAAGCTTCCCATATGCACTTTTGTTTTTCCCTTGTTGCCTCTGGAATCTCAGAATTCCCCACACACACACATACCAAAAAAAAATATTTTTAAACAAAGGAGTAATGGAGAACTTAAGTGATGATAACTAGGAAATAACCAGGTGAAATCTTGTATCTAGTTTCATGAAACATCTTCAGAGAAACTTAAAATCAGATTTTTAAAAAATTGAAGAAATTATCTGTTGGGTTTGATCTTCACGTGGCTGAGACTGACTTCTGTTTAAAATGTACTCCCTTTGAAAACAATCCCATTACCCATGCTGGGGAATTCCTTCTTGGATTCTGCTCCAAATTCTTGAGTTTGAAGTTTACACTTTCTTTTCTTTCGGTTCTCAGAGAAAATGTAGAGGAAGGGATCACCCTTATTTGCATAAAAGCACTTCATACGCGTGAAGTCTGCTGTTTAATAAAATATCTGCTTTCCTAGGGGCAAGAGCACAACAAACACTGCTTGCTATGTCCAAGGCATTATGCTATGCCTAGGATGAAAAGTCAGCCATGCACACCCCCTGCCCTCCAGAATCCTACCATCTAAAGGAGGCAACTAAATTAGAGGTAAGACAGACTGTGATTTAAAAAAAAGAAAGAAAGAAAGTTGTTAATAAAAGTGATAGATAGATGCTGAGGATATACTGCAGAGGAGCAATAACTCTAACCGGGAATCAAAAAGGATGGCCTAGAGGAGATGACAGAGCAGAGTCTTGAAGGATAAACAGGATTTAGCTGTCAGAATGTCAGAAAGACATTTCTCAAGTGGAGGAAGCTATGTGAGCAAAAACAGAGTGAGACAAAGGACATTTGGATGACTTCAGATGCTACGTGGAGATATTACATTTTATCTGGTAGCCAAGAGGGAATCATGAAAAAGTTTTTGAGAAGGGGAGTGGTCTACTTGAATGGTATTCTAGAATGACTGGGGCAGTACTATGTCAGATGGACTAGAGATGGGAGAGACAAGAAGCTGGGAGGCCAGTAAAGAGACTATTGCAAAGATCTGAGATAGAAAGTCTAAGAACTTTTTTTTCTTTTTCTTTCTTTTTTTTTTAATTTGGTTTTTTTAATTGAAGTGTAGTTGATTTACAGTGTTAGTTTTAGCAAAGCAATTCAATTAAGAACGTATAAGAACTTCACCTTAGGGCAGTGGCAGTGAAATTGCTAACAGGAGTGACTTCAGGACTTCACTGATAGAGGTGGGTGACAAAAGGGACACTCAGATAATTCCAGTTCCAATTGAAATCAGGCAGAGAGTACAATGACAAATGTAAAATGAGTAGGTTACAAGATGAATATGAGGGAAATGATAAAGTTGGACCCAGAGAGTTTAAAAGTTAAGACACCCACGTGGGCAATTGTAAGTAGACTATCCATACAATGGACAAATCTGAGCTAAGGATAAAGAATCCAACCAGTTCTCTCTTTCTCAAAAGTCTAAAATGCCTAATACGGCGCTTTTTTGGTTATAACGTAAGCCAATACTATAACCTTTTTAAAAGTTTATCTCTTCTTCAGAATGGAGTTTCGAGTCCTCAGAAATGTTCACCAGATAAAACAGAACTCTCAACTTTTAGGCTGTGCATTTATTTCAGTCAACAGAATCACACTGACAAATTCAGAACTATATTGAAAAATCCACTAATTTGTTATTAGCTTTCCTGTCTTCCATGATTCATATGCCAATGAAAACTGAAACACACCCAAAAACCTAAGTGAATCATGGCATTTCATATCCACATGCATAAAGAAACCATAGGTTTTTCTTCTGTATTTTTATGGAGGTCCCCTCCGAGCTCCCTTTGGCATTCCACATAACCTGCATGAAGTACAGATTACACTTCATACAGACCCATCAGAAGGTTCAGTTTCCGTGTAGGAAAAACATGACAAGTTATGTAACACTGGTAATCTGAGGTTACCAGTAACACCAACACCTCTGGCTTTACAGAACTCCAGCCTTTAGTAGATGAGGGAAACTTAGCCAGCTGCTTGAACATGCTCAGGGCAGTGGTTTGCAAACTAGAACGTGCACTGTTTGTTAAAATGCAGATTATTTCACCCTCCCTGCCCCAGCTGTTTCTACATGGATATGTCCTGGGCAGAACCCAAGAATCTGTATTTTTACTAAATTCCTCCAGATGATGCTGATTCTGCTAGTCTGGGGGTTACACTTTAAAACCCAAGATAAATACCAGTCTTTTTGGTCAGAATAACCTAACTGATAAACATACCAGTATCTTGTGGACATTACTAGAAGTTAGACAGGAGGGTCCTTTGTTGTGACAGAAGGTTTTATGAGAAAGTGGTGTAAAACGGCATATAACGTCCCTCACCAATCGATCATGTTCACGCATGCAGCTACTGCACAAGCGGGAAGATTTAAAAACCGAGTTTTCCTCCATAAAGCGTGGCAAATATCGCCGTGTTAAATGGCGCCAGAATCACTGGCACACATTAAGAACTAAGGGCAGAACGTCCACTTTCAATAGTATCCTGCCCTGTTGCTTCTCCAGCATCCTGTTTTGTACCCTGACTCTCCCTGAATGGATGAAGGGGAGAGGAGAGGACAAGCTAGGTGGCGCCGTTGCTTAACACATTTTCCTGTCAAGCCCAACACTGACGCACTAGGGCGCACAGGTGCAAAGAATTTCCAACCCTTGAGTGCTGTTTTAGAGTAAAGCAACCAGCTCACCACTCACCTGAGGTGCTGCAACAAGCACGGGCGTGGAGCTCAGGAGGGTGGCCGCAGTGTGGCGGCCAAGGTTCCAACACTCCCGGAAAAGAGAGGGAAGTTGTGGGTCGGGGAAGCCTGACTTCGCTGAACTCCCACTGTGGTCTTGGGGTGCAGCGTGTGCCACGTCCCTGGGAATTCTCACCTGGTGGCGTCTGCGCTCTTGCCCAGATCATCCCGCCCATAAAGGCAGGCGGACAGTGCGCACAATGGGTGTGAATGGCTAAGGCCAGAGCTGAGGAGGAAACAGAAACACAAGTCCACAGGGCTGAGGGTGGGGGGCAGATCTCTTTGCCAGGGAGAGCACTTATTTATCTCCTCCACTTACGTCCTGAATCCAAGGAAAAGCACGACGGAGAAGCG